GTCTTTTCCAACCACTATGATTCTATGATGATTCTAGATATTGCTTTAATGCTCAAACACCCTAACAGGTTAGGGTCTAAGCAAGTAATTAATGGTGATTATTTGATGATATATAAATTTCAACACTAGCTGACATGTCCTAGACTCTAAAGCATGCTAGTATTTAGGAAATCCTGGCTTCCAAATGGGCTTCAATAATAATAATTCAAAAGTAGCATTAGCCTACACCTCTTCTGTGAGAACCTACACACTCATCAGCACTGGGAGATTGTTATAGTGAGAAGTGTGTGGGGTGGCTTGGGTGGAAAATCATTGTTAAATAAATCTGTATTGTGCTAACAACTTCAAATCTTTTTGTTTTTTCAAGATTCAAAACCAAAAGTGTCTGCAGATTTTGAAGACTTATTATCTGGTCAAGGTTTCAATGCTCACAAGGACAAGAAGGGCCCCAAAACAATAGCTGAGATGAGAAAAGAAGAAATGGCTAAGGAGATGGACCCTGAAAAACTAAAAGTAAGCAATATCCTTGTTTGTGCTCTTACAATCATTCAACGTGCCTTTTGTTCTCATCATGCCAAACACTGCTTGAAACACTGTCCCTGAAAGGTGGAGGGGGCATGTGAGAGGCAGGTGAGCAACTCTTTCATACCATTTAGTGCCAGAAGCTATCCTCCTGTTCTAGCACTTACCCTAGTGCGTGTCCTCCACAGTGCTGCTGGATCCCCAGCACCACGTGCTATCTCTCATGCTTGCTTTCAAGTTAAACATCTCATTTATCTTTTGACTATTCCATCTAATGACTGTTCATAAGTGTTACCAACTCAGTATTTTTAGCAGAGATGTGGCTTAAGGAACTTTCAAGCAGCGATATAAAAATTAAAGACAAAAGAGAGTGTGACAAATATTTTTTACAAAGGTTTTCTAAAGCTTGGAAAGAAATGTAAGATGCTCCTTGGAGTCATTGTTATTCAAATGAAGAAACATTTTCCTACTGGGATATTTAATGTAAAGCATAAATTGAGACTCTCACATTATTCTCTCCAGGTCCTGGAATGGATTGAAGGGAAGGAGAGAAATATAAGAGCCCTGCTGTCCACAATGCATACAGTCTTATGGGCAGGGGAGACCAAGTGGAAACCTGTTAGTATGGCAGATCTTGTCACGCCAGAGCAGGTGAAGAAGGTCTACCGGCGGGCAGTGCTTGTCGTTCATCCTGACAAGGTAAGGTTTTCCTCATTTCACATTGTTCAGAAGTTGTCACTATTCTCTTAATTGTGACATGTGGAAGCAGTAGTTTGAGATTTTTTGGTTTCTGAAAGGTGAGAACTCTAACCACTCCCAGCTCCAAGGCTGTGCTTGGTTCTTGCTGCTCCAAGCAACAGAGGTTCACCTCTTCAGCTTTTGTCACCCTCACTGTGACTCTAAGCCATCCTGGTGGTGAACAGCAGCCCAGAATATTGTGCCTGCTAAAGGAGATGAGGGTGTGATAAAGGCATATGAAAGGACAGGGGTCTTCAAATCAAACTTTTAAAATGGAAGAATCTGGTTCTCTTCATTATCCAGCTTGAGGTCTTGCCGCTTACACCTGCTAACCAGAGGGCAATGATGCCATTGGGAAACCCTGTGGAGATGAGGCTTCCACTTGTGTGGAAATAGAGGCCCTGAGAGTTTCAGGGCAGTGAGCAAGGTTTGAGAAGATGTGGGCTGCCCAGAGGCTTGCAGGAATACTGCTTTTATTAAGGAACTGTCTCAAGTGGCAGCTCTCTCCCTTTAGTGCAGGCAAAATGCCTCTTGCAAAGCCTAGGTTAATTTTTTTTGCCCTTGGGACTGCAGTGCTTTATCACACTTGAAGGGTTATCAGCTCTGAGGAGCAGAAGAGCCAAGGAATTCTTAAGCTGTAAACAAGGTAAGCAGCCATTAATAGTAGCTTATTCTTGTCAAAATCATGGAAAGTGAACAATAACTACTTGAGAATCTAAATGTCATCTTTTTGCAGTCTGATTTGGTGGATGTGATATCCCTCTTTCTGTTTTTATTCCAGGCTACTGGGCAGCCGTATGAACAATATGCAAAGATGATATTTATGGAGCTAAATGATGCCTGGTCAGAATTTGAAAACCAAGGACAAAAACCTTTGTATTAGGTACTTTCTCAGTCTCCACTACAGACCTGTGCTAGTGCTTATATAGTCTCTTGTCACAAATGTCACAGATCAACCAAACTCTGGCTGGAAATTCAGAAGTATCAGAAAACGAAGAGCCTAATACTTATCATGAAGAACAAGAGAAAGGTTTCCTCATACGTGTATCAAGAATCCTGAGCTCAGAGGAACTCTAGCCACCTGGCTTGCCATATGAGAGCCACGGGGTTACAGTTTCTTGTAACTTTTATATTTTTTCTTTGGATTCAAGTGGGGTGAGAGGAAAACACATTCTGGGAAAAGGTGGAATTGTTCTGTCTCCGACACAGCGTAGCTGGTGAACTTCCTACATTCTTTGTGATATGGCAACACTTCAGTTGAGTTCAGTAACTGGTGGTGAAGCCCAGACTCTGATGTCCTTTCTTCCTAGGTTTGGATCAAACGTCATCATCAAATTTAAGTGCTCAGATGTGGTTTTAGGCACACTTCTAACAGTCACCATTTGCTGCTTAATTGCTCATATAGTGTAGTATGCCTGAATAGAGATGAAGCTGAAGCCTGGGTTAGATCAGTGTGGCAGCTGACCGCTGCTTTACACATTAACACTGTAACTTCACCTCACAGTCCAGCAGTGAAAAGTGCAGAAGAAATTCCTCAGCAAGTGTCTTTTAAAGCAAACAACAAGTAATTGATGTTAAACAGCATCTTGTTGGTTTGTTAAACAGCAATTCTGGGGGAATAAGGAAGTGGGGGGAAGGGTGAATCCACATTTGTAAAAGTGAAGAATGAGTATGTACTGCATTTCCCGTGAAGTTCTCATCAACGGCTTGAAACCATCAAACAAAAGTAGTATCAACAAACTAAAACTCTGCAGCAAAGTTTTAGAAACTTCCCAGTCTGTAGGTAACACTTCCCAGTCTGTAGGTAACACTTCCCAGTCTGTAGGTAACACTTCCCAGTCTGTAGGTAACACTTCCCAGTCTGTAGGTAACACTTCCCCTCCAGCCACACGACCTTTTCCAGCCCACTTGTGTCACCTCTTTGCCTTTATCAGCTCCAGAGTACTTGGCAAAGGCTCTTGGCAGAACGGAGCCTGTTGCAACTTCACTTTTTCAGACCATGGCATCCAAGCTGTCACGTAGACATCTGTGGACCAGGTCTGATTTTTGAGGTAAATACAGTGCAAATTGATTATCTTAAAAGTTTATATTGGACCAAAGCAATAATATCACAAGGAAGTATCTCTGATGCTAAAGCTGAAGCATCTTTCCTAGTTAAAAAGCAGGTTATTCACCCCAAATTCTGGCATTCTCCTTTTGTAGAATAACTAAAGCTAGCCGTTTATTTGCCAACATGTTGCATCTGTATTTGAGCTTTGAAAGGGCAGGTATACTCAGAAGATGGGCAGGAAATCATTTGTATTTGCTGCTGAAGGAACAGGTTGCCATCTGATGTGAGTCTTGAAAGCTGGTGGTTTTTTAAAGACAATCCACTTGTTGTTGCACTTACATTTTCAAGTGGCAAAACTCTTAACTGCAAAGACAGTGTGTCAAAGTACATTGCTTTCTGTATAAAAGTCATCCTTTTGTTGTATTGGTCCATTATTTACTACCATTGATTGAAAATGTGAAACCAACACGTGGGTCTCCTTTTATATAAAAGACCTTAAGATAATAGTAACAAACTGGATGTTATTTATTAATGTTTTGATCCAGTATGTGCTTGTCTTATTTAAAGAGATAACTGGAATGTGAATCATGTTCCTGTGATTTGTTGGTTTATTGTTTCTCATTCACATTTGTAGATATTGTGACCTATGCCTATATAATAAAAAGGATCTCATTACTAGAACGTACTTTTTTAATAACGAAAACTCCATTAGCTTTGTAACGAGTTAGTCATGGCACATAACTCTGGATACTCATACGTTCACAAAACACAAATCTATCATTAAACTTTATCTACCAGAAGAATCCCTACACCACTTCAGCTTTGGTTACTTCCATCCCTAATGTTTTTATGGATGCATGAAAGTATTAGGACGTATGTATATCAAAATAGTTAACTGCAAAAAAAAAAAAAAAAATTAAAAAAAAAAATCTTGTCATATCTGGTAGTGACAGAGGTTATCAATGTTCAGGTTCACTGTTTGACTAAATTATTGTAATTTTTGTAAATACAGTATATACTCAAATGAAATTGTGACTGGTCTAAAACATTTGTATATACATTAAAAAGCTCAAATTAACATATTCAGGTATGTTTTTGTGCTTGTGGGGCAAAAACCTCTACCGTCTCGCTTCAAACACAGTGCAGAGTAATTTATTGGTAAATGCTGAGTAAGCAACAATGAATCCATATATATAGAATCATAGACTGGTTTGGATTGGAAGGGACCTTAAAGCTCATCCAGTCCCAACCCCCCTGCCAGCAGCAGGGACACCTTCCACTAGACCAGGTTGCTCAAAGCCTCATCCAACCTGGCCTTGAACACTTCCAGGAAATATGAAATAGAAACTTCTTTCGTCTATATCTTACACGTATGACTAACAGCTGTCATGCAGGGTTGGGTGGGACTGGTGAGATACACATAAAGGTAACCATAAATTACTTCTTTTAGAGACAAATACTTTTTTTCCCCAGAGTTTTTATTTCCTTGAGAGCAAACAAGCTCCATGAAGAACCCAGTTCCCATTACTGCAAGCAGATTATAAGAACAGTAAGGGCTTAATTTAGACAACATTTGCAATGGGAATAGGTGTAGCTTGTCATGATGAAGAGAAAAACCCTTCAGCTGAAACAGGAGATGGTAACTTAAGTTGCTTCTGTGTTTTGATTCTTTAGACAAGTTATCAGATGTGTATTTGCATATTTATTATAGATACAAAGCCACTTACAATAGCAGCAGCTGTACCAAGATGTAAACTTGTGTTAAAACTTCTGGGAGTTTTTTGCTGCTTGATAACAGCCAAAGGGTACAGTGAAAGGATCTCTGTATCATTTTCTATTCACATGCTTTGAAATAAGCCCAGAAATGCTGAGCTTGGTTGCTGCTCACAAACTGTGACCAGACCACGAGGTTGTATCACACGACACGGGTGGTGAGCTTCTGCCAGGATCAATATTGCCTCTTTAAAGTGGTTGCTAATGACGTGTGGTAAATTCTCAGGTTACATTCCCTGTGGTTTTCATAGAATTATAGAATGAATCCCAGACTGGTTTGGGTTGGAAGGAACCTCAAAGCTCATCCAGTCCCAACCCCCCTGCCAGCAGCAGGGACACCTTCCACTAGACCAGGTTGCTCAAAGCCTCATCCAACCTGGCCACAAACACTTCCAGGGAGGAGCAGCCACAGCTTCTCTGGCCAACCTGGGACACTGTCTCACCACCCTCACACCAAACAATTTCTTCCTCACAGCTCATCTCCATCTCCCCTCTGACACTTTCAAGCCATCACCCCTTGTTCTGTCACTCCCTGCCCTTGGCCAAAGTCCCTCCCCACCCTTCCTGGAGCCCCTTCAGGTACTGGAAGTCACTAGAAGGTCTCCCTGGAGCCTTCTCTTCTCCAGGTTGAACAGCCCCAGATTTTCCCAAATTAAGACATTTTGGTAACAATTTGTCACTTGTTAATCTCACACTATTGTGTTTCAGAGACCCAGAGCAAGACACCTGACAAAATTTTCACTTGGAGCATTTAGTTATCTATGCCCCCTGTTTTAATTAGAAGGCTGCCTTGGCCTGTAATCAGTCAGCTCTAAATTATTTAAAATTCATTATGAAATTGGAAAAAAAATTAAAAATCAGTATTGTAGAATCAGAGAATGGTGTGGGTTGGAAGGGACCTTAAAGATTGACAGGATATGAAATGAGATGAAGGGCTGATAGGCTGAAATGGGAGGAGGGTGTATCTGAAGGGTTGTGCAAAATCTCCCTCAAAAAAAAAGGCTGTTCTTGTGTCAAAAATGAGGTGTCAAAAATGAGGTTCCAAAAAATCAAAATCTTAAAGAAAATACTGCTCTAAAACAACCCAATGTTCCCTTCTCAGTGTGGATGAGCAGACGGGTGGGTGGTGCAGCTCCTGAGATGACACTGTATGAGGCAAGCAGGTGCCTGGGCCCATTTTTTGGGGTGAAAAGAAGAGTTTTCAGCAGTAACCTGCAAAATGGCAGCGACTGATGCGTGGGAACTCTTGCCAACTGTATTGATGTGTCTAACTCGCGCCCGTGCACGCACGGATAGATGTATTTACACACATATACGCTGTATATACAGATATATGTGTGTGTTTGTGTGTATAGACGTTAAACGCCCGCCCCGAGGCCTGGCTACAGGCAGGCAAACACCGCCCCGTAACCATGGCGACGAGCGGGGCAGTCACGTGACACTGATCACGTGACGCGGGA